ACCCGCGTTGCTTTTGGAACTGCAACATCATCGGTCAAAGTGTCAGAGACGCTTCGAGCGCTTGACCCATTTTCCGAGATCCTCTGGCCGGAGCCCATGCACAATGGGGTCAGGAGTCTTTTCACCTAGAGCTTTGGTTTGCATAACAGTCGGAAGGATGAACCCAGAAGATCTCCGGCAAGTGTCTAGTGATGTGTGGCTCCAACGCCAAGTCGGAGGGAAAAATTGATGAGTCTGAGATGCGGCTTTGTTGGAAAGATGAAACAGTCATAGCACTGCTGAGGGAATTGATATGAGCAGCTTGTCACTCTAATTTAGGGAGGCACACTGGACAAGACAGGAGTACAAATCTGTTACCGCATCTGTAAAATCTACCATAAGAAACTGCAGATCTCCACAGACAACATCTGTCCGGTTGCCTTTATTTTACATCAGTTTGCGTTTGATGAAGCAAATCCTGCAGTGGGCAGATACTAATAATGACCTGTACTTAGATAACACACAGGCTACACACTAATAGGTGTCATGGATATAAACAGAGGATGTCATTTCAAGTCTGATAGAGTGAGGCATGTGGCGGGGTGTTTTTGTGCGTGGGCTGAACTAGTTTATGTTTGCTGATCAATTTAGAGTATTCATCACCTTCAAAGTTATGGTGCAACATGACAATGCTTGACAGGTACCAAAATTCCTAGTATATCAATCTCATATTTGGTGGCAGTCTGAGTTGCGCTTGATGTCTAGATGAATGAAAATATACCTGGTAGCTCTGCTTCTTCCATAGAAGAAGGTAACCCCAAAAACGACATTCATTGCTTTGCATGTCTCTCCAAAGAACACTCCCACATACGTGTCGCTAAGTGGGCGTATAAATAAGCTTGCCGTTGCGTGAGAGCGTATGGAGGGGGGCAGCATGTCCGATTTAGAATGTTGGTCACAGCTCAGCATTCATCAAGTTGCTGTTGCCATGGAAACTCGATTCTTATGCAACAGAAGAAGAAGAAGAAGAAGAAGAAACGGTTTCTAGAAGCAGGCAAGTGAACGAGAAACGGCACATTGGAAATGCAGCCGTGTCTGAGCAAGCGCTGCTCTATCTGTCGTCTGAAAACCAAAAAATGTGACACAACTTCAAACCCAGCAACGTACGGACGCACACCTGAACTGACAGTCCACAGGGATGTGGACTGTCAATTAGAGAAACAGTCGAGAGGCATACTGTAGCTGAGGAGGGACAACAGTATGGCGGCTCAGGTTGGCCGGTCTACCTACAGGTGAACTATGAGCACCTCGCTTTATAAATTTGACCTTTATGGAAGAGAACAAAGAAGTTTAACGCTTGCCATAAATCCGTGAAGGAGACAAAGCAAACATGTGCGTCAGGGTGATCTGGTCAGATCAGACCAAAATTGAACTAACATGAAAAACACTCACACATCCTCCTCCATGGTTTACAGAGGGTAAGAGATGCTTTTGAACATATTTTTCTCTGCAAACCAACACCATAGTTTGTTGCTAAACTTATCATATTTAAAACATTTTAACAATAAAATGTTTCAACCATGTCACAGTAATATATGACTACAGATCAATGGTTTCACACCTCACGATTCTAAACACTGTCATGTACTTTTTAGACTGAAATTGCTAAAAAGTAATTCCAAATTTAAAACAGAGTTGCCTCTTTCTGTCATGTGTTTTGCTTACTGTTCTACGCTATTCTTGACCATATGACTCCAGTTCCATTCTGTGGTCTGATCTCTCCTCCTTCCATGTCCCAGTTGTACATCTGCAGCTGCAGCATTGCCGCAGCTGGCAGCGCACTGTGCCTTCATCACTGACAAAAGCCGCTTAAATCTGCAAGTCCGAATAAAGTGTTTGCAAACAGCAAATAGTATTCCTGCCATCCAACTGGAAGTTAGCACATTTCAAAGCTATGACGCTTTTGTGGTGGTTGTAGAGGAGAGTTTGCTGCTTTCCAGCTGCTGTCTGAAGGAGTAATGTGGCGAAGTGATACATGTCAGAGTAGGTTTAAGTAATAACCCTCTACTTCACAGCATAGTGGAGCTGAGGCAGATCAGAGCTGAAATAATACTGAAAATCATCCAATGTTCCTGGAGGAAAACAGATTAAGTTGTGAACTGAGAGTGTATTTTCTTCTTTGTCATGTTTTGCAGAAAGAAAAGGATTGTTGTTTGAGCAAGAACTGTCATGGCTAAACGTTTCTAGCTTATTGACAGGAAGAACCATGGCTGTCTCTCATGAAATGAGCTCATCCGGTGATCTGTCCTGCTTAAGGCTATGAGGACAGCTTCGCAGTGCCAGCTGTTGTGACCGACTTTGCTTCTGCGTTCTGGATGGATTTCCCAGACCCCGGCCTCACTGTGACCTGATGCACCATCCCCTCTTAGCGAGAAACTTTCCTAATTTCAGCTGGTTTGAAATTAGGAACCAGCTGAAACCCATGCTATCCATCCAGCTCTTCATCTGGACATCTGAGGCTCTGACAGGTTCCATATTTAAATATGTATTAATGGAATTCATATAAGTCCCATTCTTGATTGTATTTTTCTAAAATATCTGTATATAAAGACTCAGAACTCTAAATAATTGACTCCAGAGAAGTCTGCAGTTTGGATGGAAAGATTATGTGAACAACTTAATTTTTGTCGGTATTATCTCTCTTAGTGTGGCATGTATTTAGTTCCAGCCAACATGTGAAATGATATGTTTGGAGTCAACTCTAATAGGCCACTTTATTGTGGGAAAAAAAAAAAAAACATGGTGATGAGGGGTAGTGGCAGCATCATCTTATGGGGGTTCCCCTTACTTCCATTTAACTTCAGGTATAACGAAGGAGATCCATGTGTCCACGTCTAAATTCAATCGGGAATCTGAGGCAAGGAGAAAAATTAGGCTCACAAATGTTTTCCTTCGACTCTGATTGAGGTGGAAAAAAAATGGGCAAAATGTTTCAGTTTCTAAATATGTCGAGCTGGTGGAGATACACTGCAAACGACTTGCAGCTATAATTGAAACAAAAGAAAGGCAGGGCTTGAGTACGTGCTACACTATCAAGACACAACATGGCAATGATGTGTTTGCGCTCCTGTCTTGCACAATGCTCCACTGAACGGAAGTGTAAAGTACACAGCGGCGCTTATACATTTATGTTACAGACTGTCAGTGAAGGCACCGGAGAAAAGACTGAGGCGCAAATACGCACGGATTGCAATCATGTATTGCTGTCTGAGAAGCATTTCGCATGACTTGACTAGTAAAGCGACATTGACTCCAATCCAATGTTTTTTTCTTTATAAGCGTGCAAACATCACAGGAAGTTTTGACGAGATCTGGAAAACTCCAAGGGGATTTTATTTTATTTTATTTTATTTTTTTTTTTGCGATGCACCCAACATGAGTTCATCTTCAGGTTTCTAAATGAGGAAATCGGGACTTCATGAGATCAGCCCCCACGCCTCGTTTCCAAAACGGTTATGTGACCTGACAGCGTGAGGTCCGCTGTTGACAGTGATCCGTGAGGAGGGAAGGTTGCGATTGTCAGGGCCGATGCTGTCTTCCCCAAAACGCTCGCCATGCGGCACGCCGCCTTCGCCGCAGAATAGCCGCCGGCGAAACGAACCGTCCCTACGACTCAAGCGAAGGAAGACAAAGGGACGACAAAAAGGATGAGCTCAGTCCCCAAACATGTGTCTGCGTCTGCAGACGTTTCTTCTCTCGTTTCTGCAAGAAAAATAAATAAAAGAAATTGGGGGTGGGATGCAACAATAATAAAAAAAAACGAATTCTATCTGAATTGTGCGTTTATTGAGGCCACGTTTTTAATCCGGTTACTAGTGTTAATTTTTAACCCAACTGGTGTCACTGGGAGCATGTGTGTGAAAGCGATTGGTGCAATCCTTCCAGTGCTTTCTCTTTCCTTCCTCTGCCTCATCACTCTGTTTCTCTCTCTTTTTTTTCCTGTCTTTTTTTTGACCGGAGGTGTTGTTGGTTGTAGCTCTCCGAACCAGCAATGGAGGGATGAGAGAGGAGAGAAATGGGTGTGGATGGAAGAGGAGAGCTGCACCACCGCGGAGAGGAGAAGGGAGAGCCGGGGTCTGAGCGCGCGCCAGGGTGGGCTGCGCTCCCTCCAACGTCAAGTCGGCGTCAGTTAAACCAAGCCACTTCCGCCTCCGTGCTGCGTTGGACTTTACGCTCGTACAGTCTGCGCTTTCACAAATTGTTAGAGAAATCCGTCTCTTGTTTTATCAAGGCAACCCTATCTTTTTTTTTTAAGTGTGAAAATAATTGTTCGCCTTTATCTTATGTCCCTACGATAAACCGAGTCCAAATCATAAGTGCATCTCAGATCATGCATCAAAACTCACCTTAGACATTTAAACAGACGACTCCATCTCCACTCTTCCCTCCAGCAAATTAAAATAATAATAATAATAATAATAATAATAATAATAATAATAATAATAATAATAATAATAATAATAATAATAATAATAATAATAATAGGAAGCAGAAGAAGAAGAAACGAATCAATAAATTCTAAGCCTTTTCTTTGTTCTGGGTGACTCTTTTGCATGGAGGAAGGAACATAATTCTCTAACTAATGCTTTGGTATGAAGAACCCTTTTGGAAGAATTCATTTTGGGTGAACTTCATGCAGAAAATGCTGCGTTGTTAAGACCTGTTAGAGAACATGTCAACATGTGTTTTTTTCGAAATTTGGGTCTGGAAACTGCCTATATATTTTTTTCATTTGCAAAAAAGTATATATTTATAACTTAAAGAAAACATGAATCATATTTTTTCCCTTAGAAAAAAATCGAAATGATAATAATAATAATAATAATAATAATAATAATAATAATAATAATAATAATAATAATAATAATAATAATAATAGAATGTGGTTTTACTTTGAAATCTAACGTTGTCGTTTCCGGTTTTGCGCGTGCATGTTTTATCAATCTTGATGGTCTCACAGCTCCAGCGGCTGGGAAACACACCCGTCAGCAACGCGCATTGGAGAGAGGAGAAGAAAAAAAAAAACGCATCACGGACAAAGGAAAAAATATGAACGCTCCGTGGAGCATTGATTTCAGCCGGGCAACGCGATGGATGAGCCGCTCCTGTTTCATTCACCGGGAGACCAATTAGCCCACCTTCATGAGGTGCTGGGATGCGAGATACTGCAAGCAAAAAAGGCGGAAGGGTGCGTTTAATCCGTCTGCGGATCCTGTGAGCTTGCCATGGCTGTGACGGGGACATGCAACTGGACAGGGAGGAATGTGCCTTTTTATTATTTTGTGCTGTTTTCCTTATTTTGTGGCCTTGGGTTTGGACAGCTGCGGTATTCGATCACAGAAGAACTGGAAAACGGAGCTCTGGTAGGTGATCTGGCGCACGATTTGGGGCTGGATATTCGAAGGCTCTCCACCCGAAAAATCAAGTTAACCTCCAACAGCGGGAAGCGCTACGTGATTGTCAATCCCAAAAATGGCAAACTGCTCGTCAATGACAGGATCGACAGAGAGGCGCTGTGCGATTTGTCTAGCACCTGCCTCATTAATCTGGAGGTGATGGTAGAAAACCCCCCAGAGGTGCACCACGTCGAGGTGGAGATTGTGGATGCAAATGACAATGCGCCGCAGTTCCCCAGAGACGAGTATCAACTGGAAATAACAGAATCGGCTATGCCAGGCTCCCGTTACCCAATTGAAAACGCTCAAGATCCAGATATTGGGTCCAATTCTGTCCGCATGTATCAGCTCAGCACAAACGAGAATTTCGCGCTGGTATCAAACAAACCTTCAATCAACACAAAGCACATAGAGCTAGTGCTCAAAAAGCCCCTGGATCGTGAGCAGACGCCTTACCACCAGTTAATTCTAAGTGCTGTAGATGGTGGAATACCTGAAAAAACAGGCATGGCCAAAATCAACATCCGGGTCCTGGACTCAAATGACAATGTCCCGGTGTTCGACAACTCGGTATACAAGGTGAAACTGTTAGAAAACTCCCCCAAAGATACCCTTGTGATAAAACTGAATGCGACTGACTTGGACGAAGGCACAAATGGAGAGGTTTATTACTCTTTCAGCAGCTACACGCCAGAGAGAGTCAGACAGATGTTCAGCATGGACACCAATACAGGTGAAATAAGAGTGAGGAGCAATGTTGATTATGAGGAGACCAACTCTTATGAGATGTACATCCAGGCAATGGATAAGGGCCCGGGTGCAGTTGCAGCCCACTGTAAGGTGGTTGTAGAGGTTGTAGATGTGAATGATAATGTCCCTCAGATAGTGCTGTCATCTCTCTCAAGCCCTGTGAGGGAGGACGCCCGTGCAGACACAGTAGTGGCCCTCATTAGTGTCACTGATCGAGACTCCGGCACTAACAAGCAGGTGACCTTAGAGATCCCAGCAGGCCTTCCATTCAAGATCAAGTCATTCAGAAACTACTACACCCTGGTTACCTCAGCCTTCCTGGACCGCGAGACCACTGATGCCTACAATGTCACTCTGAGTGCCACGGACGGAGGAAACCCTCCGTTATCTTCCCAGAAGACCATACAGGTGGATGTGGCAGACGTTAATGACAACCCGCCACGCTTTGAGCAGACTTCATACACAGTATATGTGACTGAGAACAATGCCCACGGGGCCTCTTTGTGTACTGTGAAAGCTCAAGATGCAGACATCAAAGAGAACGCACGCATCACCTACACAGTGCTCAATGACAACAACCACGGCATTCCTGTCACCTCATATGTGTCTGTGAAGGCCGATACAGGGGAGGCTTATGCCCTGCGAGCCTTCGACTATGAGTCACTGAGAGAGTTTCATTTCCAGGTCAAAGCCCAGGATGGGGGCATTCCTCCGCTCAGCAGAGTTGCTACCGTCTACATCTATATAATGGATCAGAATGACCATGCTCCACTGATAGTCAGTCCTGCTGGCAATGGGACACGGTCCCTGGAGACGGTACAAAAGAATGCAGAGCCTGGTGCCTTAGTGACAAAAGTGGTGGCATATGATGCAGATGCTGGTCCGAATGCTTGGCTGGTCTACGTGCTGGAGACTGCCACTGACCTGGACCTTTTCAAAGTGCATGAGCACACCGGAGAGATCCGGACCACTCGAAGGATCCTGGAGGACAACTCCACTTCTTTTGCTCTAACAGTTGTGGTGAAAGACCATGGTGAGCCAATTCTCTCCTCTACGGCCACCATTAATGTGGCAGTCATGGAGGTGGCGCCGAAAGTGGCACCTGATACCAAGAAAGTTATGCGACCTCATACCACATGGTTTTTCTCAAACGTGACTCTCTACCTTATTGTAGCTTTGAGTGCCACAACGTTTGTATTCCTGGTCACTGTGGTGGTGCTTGCCATTGTCCGCTGCCATGCCTACTGCTCACAGCCAGGTTCCTGTTCCCCTTGCTGTGGGTCACAGAAGCCTCCTCCAGATGGCGGGAGCAGCAGTGTCAGTGCAGGCGGGGGAGGAGGTGCAGGGGCGCCGGGACAGCCTAACAACAACGTTGTGCTTCGAAGAGACCTTAAAGTGGAACCTCATTACATCGAGGTGCGTGGGAATGGTTCCCTGACAAAAACGTACTGCTACAAGACCTGCTTGACCGCCACCTCTGGCAGTGACACCTTCATGTTCTACAACACGGGTCGGCCTATCAGCGGCACCTGGGGTAGTGGCGCTGACCGTTTCTTCACTAGTGGAAGTGGATTTGTAAGGAGACTGAGTATGCCTGATGCCTCACTTCAGATATGTCCAGAGGTGGGTCAGTTTATATTATATTAAATGTAATTGTACATAATAGGTTTGTGTTGCTGTTAAATAAAAACAGAAAATGTTTGAGAGGGCAGTATGACTACCAAACTTGACATTCCTTGTGTCAAATTTGATCCTTCCCTGTAGACTTCATTGCTTTCTTTCACCTCCCACTTTGTAAAGTGCAGTCACATAGCCATGCCGAGCTCAGCACTCATTCTGCATTAGTGTCACTCCTGATGCTTTGCAAGGGACCAATGTTTTTCCTGATGATTCAGAGATTTGTGTCTCAGATTTTGAGGTTGACACAATATCTACACCTTCAGAAAAACAAAACAAAACAATGTTTTGCCTTTTATTAGTGTCTCAACCATTTGTGAGCGTGACAACTTGCCAGAGGGTAAAAGACGCAGTTATGGTGTAGTAGAGTTAAACACCCGGATCACGCTTCATAGAATTTTACCTGATTTGTACAGACATGGGATGTTAGAATCCATTATATTTAAAAGATTTAGCAGAGCCCTGAACAAGAGACTCCATGTGAATTGAGCTGAGTCTCATCCATTCACCAGATTTCTAATAAAACTGGCTTTAGCATCTTAATTTTATTAAAATATCTGGTCCCGCTGATTGTAAGATAGACATTTTTTGAAATTGCCCCAAATTTCTACTTAGCCCTTTTTCACTTCTGTAATTCTCATGTAATAAAATCAGTAAGTTGTTTATTAGATATAAACGTTTCAAGGTCAGCCTAAAATGTATGAACCAATAAATTCCCTTCATTGACCAACACGTAAACTACATGCCACCTATGCCAAGTTCAGCAAACCGGTATTGGGATATTACTCAATAATCTCATGGAACAAAACTGTTTTGGCAATAAAGTTTCTTTCATTCTTGGTCTCAATTGCAAGGGACATCTTCTGGGATCGTCAGTTTCATCACTAGCAGACATATGAACTCGAGTTACACATAAACCCACACACATCAGTGTAATAAAATACATGAGCACTCAGGGACGCGGCCAAACCCTTCCAGCTTTCACATTTGAAGAAGATTAAGTAATGATCTGTCAAAAAAGCTGTCATATCGGCTTTGAGTGGCAAACAGGTTTAAAATATGTGTGTATGTATGCTAATGTGTATCCAGATGTGTGGACACATGTGCAGCCTCCTACCACATCCTGAACTGGGATGTGCATCATAAATAATTGATGAAACCATGGCCCAGCCTGCCTATGCACAGTATGAGATCAAATTAAACTCACTCTCAACCCTCCCTGTCTCTCTCTCTTTCTGTGTGCTTTCCATTTTTTGCTCCCCTTCTTTTCCCCTCTTTCTTTCGATCTCTCAGCCAAAGGCCCCGAATGCTGACTGGCGATACTCTGCGTCTTTGAGAGCAGGGGTGCAGAGGTAAGCATTTTTTTTTTCGCCTCCAACTTTTTATGTTCTCTTCAACTGTTATGCCTATTTTGAGATTTTTATCATAGTCCTATTATTATGCAAGTGCATAGTTTGTGCAAGTGAACTTATGAATACATTCTGAACGTTCTCTCAAAAGAAGTTCAGCGATAGTGACAAGGAATTTAGTTTGTAAATGCAAAAGCAAGACATGTATGCAGAATCCAATGTTTGGTACTGAAGAACAACTGGTCTTTAGATACCAGATTGATGCATTAAAGATGATTATTGCATTTCTTTATTAAGAATATAGGCAGGAACCTATCTTAGAACTTGCAAATTTGAGGTGCAGTGCAAAAAATAAATGCAACAACAACTTCTAGCTTCAGGTTCTACTTCAGTGAAGGCTTACAAAGTATTTTGCTAAGGTACCTCTTGAACATTTTCACATTTTTTATATTACAACTTTAATAGATTTTATTGGAATTTTAGGGTCTGGACCAACACTAAGTTGTGTATGATTACAGGATTTTATTCCAAGTTTATAAAAATCTGAAAATGTGGGATGCATTTCCAAACAGCCACCTTGATCGCACTAAATTAAATTCAGTGTTCCTGATTAACTTTAGAAGGCATGCAAACTATACAGAGCTCATTCATTCGAGTACAATTTATATCCAGAAAAAAAATGAAGTTCTATATAGGCATATGAAGGATTATTAGGGAAGATCAATCAAAAACAGTCTCAAGGACATAGCAGATAGGTCAAGGATAACGTTTAAAGCTTGGTTTTGTCATAAAATAATATCCAAAGATTTATTGTGTCACATGGTTTCAAACCAAACAAAATGGTTGCCATGGTTTCTAAAAAGCCTTGTAGAAAAATCAATTTAATGTAAAACCAACAAACAGAAGGAAGAGCTGTTTTCAGTCTGCTACAAGCAAGTTAGGGGACGAGGCAAACATGTCAAGGAAGAAGCTCTCGTCAGATGAGAAAAATAAATTGAACAAAGTGTTGCATGTGGCAGGAAACAGTGTGCAAACTGAAGGCTCCATTGTCGAAATTGTAGCTGGCGGCACCATAACATGGGATACGTATTGATGAAGCACAGCAACCTAGTAGAGTTAACGCTGACATTGAGCTATATGAAATACCCACTTTACTGAGCTCACACAATGGCAAAAAATTGTATCAGCAATATCATACTATTATTAGCACAAGCTACTTTTGAAAAAGCAACATAGTGTTGTACCCACAGAAGAAATCAAAGCAGAGCCCTATGGGGAGGTAATGCAGTGAAGCCAATAAGGAACAGAACATCATACACATTATTAAATGATGGAGGCCCCTTGTACTTAAAGCACTGAATGAATAAATCAAGTTATGAACTCAGAAATTACCTATGCAGAGCAGAGTGTGTTTGGCTGTGCTGAAATACTAAATTTGGGGTTAAGCTACTGGGAATTGAGGTAGGAAATTACTCAAAGTATTTGTATAAAAGCATAAAAAATTAACTACATAGTCAAAAGCAATTCATTATCACTAGGAGAATGTTTTATGTTCACTTTTGTAGCCAATAGATGGAAGCAATTTTTCAGAACATGCTTATAGTTTATTGTAAAAAAAAAAAGTGTGGTCGTGTGTAAATAATTTCAGCAGCAGAAGGGAACTTAGAGCTGAAAGGTTGGATCAGAGGGCTTAACTTCTCATAATTCATAAATCAACTGGCCTAAATAATAAATATATGAAACATTGTAAATGGAACAAAAACTATTCAGAAAGATAAAATCCATAGTTAAATAAAATTACAATTTGTTTTCTAATTATCCCTGTAATTTATGGCAATACAATAAGCTGCAAAGAAAAATGAACTGAACAAAATGCTCTTTATGAAGGCACAAAAGGGAAGTTGAAAGGAACAAATTAGCATTACCTACATATAGGTATGAAATTTATATATGAAATGGTGTGAAAGCTGAAAGCTTTTCTAGAAGAAGAAAGCATCCAAAAGGAGTTTCCTATCTTGGCATCTCAGTCCTAATGAGAGTAAAGGACTAACTGGGCCTCTTACATCACATTGTTTTTAATTGCCTGCCATTCTGAACGGTGCCTAAGTATTAGAATCAGAGCAGTGTTCTGTTATTTATTACATTTTAAAACCAACCAATGTTCTGAGAGTGGAATGAGTTCCCCGAAATGGTCATGTATTTATTACTAGATTGCAACCAATTAATCATGCTGTCTGTATGAGGGAATCTCCATCAATGAAGCCAACTAACCATGATATGAAGTGATATTATTATCGGGCTTTTGCTGTGATATTTGGGTTACAGTTGCAACGTTTCTGTAGGAGTGACACAAAGGTCTTTCATGTACTTTTTGCTCCAGAGTGTCTAATCTGACATTAACTTCATCAGTTCTATGTTACAGTGTCACATGAATAGTAATGCAATGTCAGAGCATTATTTTCATGTTGTGTTGTGCCTTCTCACAAAACTGAACTGGAAGTCAGATAAGCCTCAGTGCCTCAGTGGTATAAGTAATTGCCTGGTGCCGCAGCAACCTACCAATAATAGTTTATTGCTTTTGTTGATTCGCCTAGGTTTAACCAACCAATATGGGTTATCTACTTTTGAAGCTAAATTCTCTTTGGACACGTTCCTGCTCAAATTGAAACACAGCATCATTTTGCTGCTCAGTCCCCTCCCCCTGAGCTTCCCTTATTCACTTTCAGTAACCGTTTCTGGGTACGCCTCAGAGTTTGTTTGAACCTCTGTCCTCATCCGTTGGAGAAAGAAAGTCTGAGCATCTCCAACTGTGGATCCAGTAACCATCTTCCTCTGCAGTGTAGTACTATATAGGTCATCAACATTCAGAGTGTCGCTACCCCTCCCACCTCCCCTTTCAGTCTTTACGCAGGAAGCATGAAGGACAAAACGAGCTGACGATGACCTTTCTCAGATTATGAGATGCACACATGCATCAATTTCTGCTTTAAAGCCTCCCCTCCATGCATATGTGTGCATCTCTCAGGGGGCAGTTTGAACTTATGTGAACTATGTTTTCTGTTAAGTTCTCATAAGTTCTAATTACTAAATTAAATACATCTTCCACACACACACTAACAAGCAGAATATTACAATGGCATTAAATAAATAATGCCATTGTAACTAAATAAAGACTCTTGACTCATTTTTTTACTAGAACAGTTCACTTTTCAGAAAAAAATAAATAACATTAATGATTTGAAATATTATAACAACCGGAAGCGAATTTTAAAATGGTTAAAGTTCCACAGCAACATAAAATTAAGAGCTTCTCCATTTGGAAATCAGGACAGCTGGAACATCAGGAACTAATGAGTCTCCCTTCCACATCCCCACGCTTTGTGCAAAATTCTCCTAATTTCATGCTGTCTGTGCTTACCACTGACTTGTCCCGTCATCTGCTCCATCTAAGGTTGATTTAATTGGCTATTAGTGTTAATTTTTTATGGTGAGCAGGAGATCAGAACGCGGATGCTGCCTTCAAACACGACATGGATTAACATAAATCATCTCTGCAATTTGCCGCTGCCATCTCATCAAATGACAATGCTTGTAACGTACGCAGACGCAGACGTGGCTCGCATTAACCCTTAACCCCAACACGGGCGCGGACGTGTCGCTCTGCACTCTGCATGTCGCTCCAACAGTACTGACCAATGGTCAGACCTGTCAGTATGCATCCATGCAACGCTTTCATAGGGTTAATAATTTTATTTGGACATACATAGCAACGTATATACACACATGGGTTTAGGTTTGGTGTGGTAGCTGAAGCTACATAGCTCTCTGTACTGATTGTCTACTTTTAACAAATTAATAAACAAATATACTCCAGAAGAAACTCTAAAAAAAAAGTTAGATTTGCTGTTGGAGGAGTAAAATAATCTGACTTCATGGTGGGACAATTGTTAGCACAGTTACCTATCGGCAAAAACCTCGGGCGTCTTTCTGCATGGAGTTCATAATCATCAACATGACAAGGAATAAAGGCTTGAAATATTTCACTGTACATGTCATTTCTGAGTGACAAACCCCCCCCCAAAAAAACACATTTTCATTTTTCCTTTGGGTGATGTAACTGGATGTGTGTTGTTTTAATTTTAACATACAGTTATTGTTGGAGCACATTCACTTTATCAGGTTCTAAAAATATTTACCTCATGCATATAGAAAACACAAAATAGAGGGTTTTATTTATCAAACAGTAGCAAAGTCTAATAATTAGATAATCAAGGAGTTAAGGAAAAAAACAAGTAACCTTTTTCTGTAGGTTATAAAAAGATCAATAGTGACTGAGGATGCTATTGATTATTTGCAAGTGTGACCAGTTCTGTACAAGCAGGACTTAAGATAATTAACTAGTCTGAAGCACTTTACTGTTTGTTAACACAATGCCAAGTAGAAAAGACATCACTACTGACCGTAGAGAAGTCATTGCCTATCTACTTAGGAAGATATTTAAGACATTTCAACCTACTTAAAGTCTGTTGTTGAAAGGTGAAATTGATTCTTCAGAAGAGCAAAATGCTTTTCTATTTTTACAGCGGTAGACTTGTTAGTGCTCCGAGCCCCAAAGTCAGCCCTTTATAGTAATGCGATAAATTGGGAAAAAAAAAAACAGATCTCCAAAACAAAGAATTGTACAAGAATTATATTGACTGGTAACTTTGCAGGTCTCACTCAATTGGTACATATACTGTTGACCTTTTTCCAGTGTTTCTAAATTCATTGTTTTACATTTGCCACATACAAAGACAATCAATAAATGCACTTTTTAGTTGATGTTGTCAAAAGAAAATCTTCAACTTTCATATTGGGCAGTCTTAGAGAAAAACAAATGTCCCGGGAATGAAGTTATAAGTTTAAGTGCTTTCGCTGGAGCTTTCACAAACGTCTTAGCAAATCTATTTTAGCAAGCATCGACAGTGGTTTGACTTTTATCTTCTTCTTTCCATTAGTGCACCCTGCTGTTCTTATGAAAATGTGTACAACTGGGTGTTAGCATAAGCGTGCTCAGAGGAAAAGCTTTCTATTTGTGTAACACAGCTTAGAAAAACCTAAGCTGACAAAAATACAACTATTTTCCAGTAAATTAAAATATCATTAAAGAGCCAATTCATGTAATTCATTTGACTCAAAGACAAATCGTGTATTATATAGATTCATTACACAGCGTGAAATATTTTAAAGATTGTGGCTGTCGTGTGATGAAAGCCAACAACTCAGTTTCTCATAAAATTTGAATATTGTCATGTTCTGCAATTGAGAGTGAATATTCCAATGAGTCTTGTTGTTCAGATTAAAAATATCTTTTGAAAATAGAAATCTTTCAGCATGCTTACTTTTTCTTTTCTTACTTTTTCCCCTAACCACACATTTATGGATTTAAAGTCATTTTTGAACCATATCATTGATGTTCTTATTGTCTAAGAAACTAATTTTCGAATTTGAGTTTTCTAAATTAACATCTCACTCTGTATGTAATCTATCTGTACAGAAAATAAGTTTCAAATGTTAATTTACTTTGGACCTATGTAGATTAAAAATAAGTGTGATACAGAAATGCAGACAAAAAAAATCAAATATTTCAAATGATTGTTTGAATGTTTGATCTGTCTTCTAGTTCTGTCCACATGGAGGAGTCTTCGGTGATGCAGGGTGCCCAGGGGATGCTGGTGCAGAACTGGCCTACTGTATCCAGTGCTGCAGGTGAGTGGCAGCACTGCAGTAATCAGAAGGCGATGTAAAACAGGACTTGACATGAGGTAAATCTCTGCAGCAGATCTGTGCGAAAAGAATAGAACAAAAAAGACATATGCAACATATTTCAACAACTTGAATCTAAGATTCATAGAGGTATTTAGTTGAACACATCTTTAATTTAAGATAATGTAATACTTCATTTGGTAAAGAAAAAAAACATACTTGCCGATTTCGCAGATAAATGTCCAAGAAAAAACATCACTAATTTGACAAAAAAAAAAAAAAGCTTAAAACTCCTGCAAATACAAATAAGTAAAGAAAGCATGAAACTTTACAAATTGGGTTTTATTAATTTTTTGGATTAACGGCCATAGTTACCATGATACGTTTTCGATCTTGAATGCAAACCACCAGCTTAATCAAGCATAAAACACACATGAAAGAATGGTTCTTTTCATCTAACTCTGAGCATTTATATGGATGAGTGAACGCTCCAAAATGTCAGTCTTCTTCTTTAATAACCTTTATTTGGGGCAACTCTACAGGGAAAAACAGTAGCTCCATAAAACTTGCAACACAAACGATACCGCATCCTTAAACAGGAGTACATTTAGCTGTGAATTTGCTCTAATGTGAAAAATCAAACTTTGCTTTGATTTTGCGGGTTATTCAACAGCATTATTGATTAGATATCTGCATCAGCTGGATCTCCAAGCTGATGTTGATGCAGATCTTAGATGAGATGCCAAATGCCCAAGGTACTCATGGAGAGCCACTGATAAACAACAGATTCCTCCCTTAAAAGCAGCCAGCAGCTGCTGCTGAACATATGCACTTATTTTCAGCTGGAAATCACTTGTCCTGAGTCGGATCCAACATTGAAGACACATTTCAATTTTTAAGGAGTTTCTGCATCTCACAGTCCAGTGAAAAAAGTATTTGGGCCCATCCAGATTTTTTCTATTTTTTATTTATTTATTATTATTATTATTATTATTATTATTATTATTATTATTATTATTATTTATTATTATTATTATTATCATTATTATCATTATTATTATTTTATTTTGTAAGCGCTGTGATTCATTTGATGATCTTGGACATTAAAGTGAATTGTCGAGCTTAAGTGTAACTCCGAGGTTCTGCTAGACCACAATTCAAAACTCTCTAACGATGGTGCACTGTGTGGCACGCTGGATAAAGCAGGAGTCTCACGTGAGGAGACCAACATTTCTAGATGAAGCCGCCCTGCATTCGATTGCCAGCCTGGTTTCTTTGCTGCCCGTCTTCCCTCTTTTAACTCTGCCTCTGGTGCAACAACAAGGCCAAACCACTTTTCTTTTTTCAGGCAAAGACATTTGGCCCCAGAATCGACCTGCAGAGCGTTGCATCATTTGCAGAACCGTATGCCTTTGAGCTAATGACTAAGACCATGCGGTACTACTACGAGATGTTGAAAGTGGCAAAAAATGACTGGAATATGTTTGTGATTTGTTGCAACGCTGCAAAGTGCTCCCTTCCCTTCAGCTGAGCTTCCATTCATTGATTTTCTGTCCGGCTGCAGGAACTTGAACAGGCTTGGAGACTTCAAGGTGAAGGGTAGCATGACAGTCAGCGACAGATGGTTTCTTCCTCCCTGTCAGTAGATGTGTATATAGATACATTGCATATTTTCCTTTTTTCAAAAATATGTGCCTTTTAAGAATATGGAATATTGTGTTTGGTAGATAATATTTCAGCTTGCTTTGTTGAATTTGGCATTTTTTTTAGAGCTTAGGGAATGACATACTTTTAGCAGAGGATCAGACTTTTTTTTTTTTTGGTGACACATTTTCATCTTCTGTAGCAGCCACAATATCATATCTGCAGTTAATCTTTTGCAATGATGAACTTGTCCAGCGTGCTGCTGTGCACCGAAGTGCAGCATCCCTTAAACTCACATTTTATATAAGCGATCCTTGGCTCAGATGAGGGAGACGTTTGTTTCATGCCGGAGGGAGAGGCAAGCTCTTATCAAATATCGGGGGTGAAAGAGACAGAGATCCATTAAAAGCAGTTTCGAAAGAGAAAGAGCAAAGGAGGCGGGTGAGCGGAAAAAAAAAAAAGAAAATGCGAGGTGCGGGGGGATGGAGCAAGAGAAAGGTTAAGAGGATTGTCAGGTTCCTGCAGTGGTGTTGTTGCTAGGTAACGACATGTGACTTGTTGCCTGGCAACGCACTGTCTAACTGAGAGATTGCTGCAGCAGCCGCACCCACCATCAGTGGGGGAGCGGGTGAAGGCAGTTTCCATCGCAACCGGGTGTATCTCTGAATGGAATTTTTTGCAGACAGGAGTGGGAGCAGAACGAGGAAGGAAACTCAGCCAGTGTGATATTAGGCGGAAAGAATGGGAAGCCGAGAGGATTCTCTGTGGAGAGCCGCAGCTCATTTAGGTCTGTCTTGCCTTTTAAACGTGCAAAGCGCGTTCCCGTTCATGCATGACCTCTTGAGGGATTCACTTGAAAATGGAGCTGTGTCAAGACTGAAATTAAAGTACCCTATTTTTTTTTTTTTTTTTTTTTTAATATGTAGGACATCAGGTTAGGCGAAATGAGGCTTCTTACATCCTCCTCAGGTGTCATGGCAACATCCTCACAAAGAGCTGTGCTTGACCTGCTTACCAGCAGTTACACAATAATCCATTTCAGCTCATCATATGCTGAAATAGGCTTATCTCTGGAAATGTTTGAGATGTGTCAGAGAAGCAGCGGCAAGGAAGGCGCAACTAGCATCATGTATCTGGTGCGTGACCTGCTCTCACACACACACACAGACATAGAGGAATAGCTCTGATTATTATCAATATCCTAATTAACAATGTCCGGGATGAGGATTTGTCAGAGCAACCCGAGAAGCTCTGGGGTATCCCAAGGCGCTGCAACAATACTTGATTAGAGCTGCAGTGTTGTGTAAAAATTTTGAACCACCCCTCTATTTCTGATAGCGGACTCTTCCAAAGGGCCAGACTTTCTTGGAATCTTAGGACGTGGTCCTATGCAAAAGTGAAGCTGGCTTTTTCAAAGTTTTTGAAGGACTCTTAAAAAATAGATTTTCAAGAGATTTGATTTGACTTATTTATGGAAATAAGCAATCAGTAGGACAAAGAAAACATGTGCATACATAACCAAGAACAAAATAATTACTTTACTATTACTTTTCAGTTTATAAAGAAGCAGGAAAAAGTGAAAGCTTATTTACCTCAATTTAATGAAATATGTTACTTACCGACTCAATTGTCAAAAATTTGTAATTAAAATCATGTTATAATATTCATTTACCAATTGAATATACTGTGCTTGATATACTGAGTTAACAAATAAATTAGATTACACTGACAAAATGGTCACAAACTAATTCATAACAAGACAAGAGAATTTACTGATAATCTCCAGTCTTATATATGACCTTCTTAACATGACTATTATTTTTATTTTTTAATCCTGACTATTTACTTGTTGAAGTGTAGAAAAGGACATAAACATCAATAAATTACCCAGTGTTGTTCAAGCACAAAGCAGTTAACTTAGGTGATCCCATTTAAAATTGCATTTCTGGCTTCTGTGTTGATGGATCAAAATTCAGCACAGAATCGTGCCATCTGCTTATAATCTATCATGAAATATGCTCTTGATAGAGTGTCTTTGGCGATAACCTTATATTTCAGCTTAATAGTTATCCCTTCAACCCTGGCAATCCAGCAAAAACCTACCTGACTGATAACGAACGTTCCCCAAAGGATCAGTTTAAGCATTAATCTCTTGCCTGTGCCAAGACCCACATTTGGGGGAAAATGTCGGAATCCTGCACATAAAATGGAGTTTGCCAAACCGAAGCTTGTTTCTGATTTTTATTTATTTATTTTGTCGTGATTTTATTTTCCTTTTGTTTTGCCATGTCTTAATAAGTCACAGTTGCCCATGTGGCGCTGCTCATATTTACTGTCAACCCTGATCAAAACATCAAAAAATTCTTACATTAAATTAATTTGTTATGGCAGGAGCATGATCTTTTTTTATATTGTGAAAAAAATTGCGTGAAAGCCGACATTTTACTTGGGTATATTTAGAAATAAAGTGGTTTTTATTTTGCTTTGTGTTGCTTTGTGTTGGGAAAACACAAAGGAAACTCATTTTATAAACTCATTATCTGCTTAGAATCAATTGCGTTTATTGATTAGATTTATCATTTATTCATTTATTCCCATTGAAATTGGTTTCAGAATAACGTGACATTGGCACAGAAGAGAAACATGCATATCGAAACCTTCATGGTATGTGGAGTTTTTTCACTGGTGACTCAATTATTGGAGCTAAAATTTGTTATTGAAATAAATGTGAAGAAGTTGATTACAGCTCTTAGAAACCTGTAATTAATAGTCCATGAATTGTTGTTTCCCTGTATTATGAATATGACTGACCCATTTGTTTTAGTCAGTGACCACATAGAGTGAGCCATTGGCTCACTCTGTCTGTCCCAAATCGCAGATTTGCATCAGCAGATTTTGATGTAACACCTGCACTGAATGTAATATTTGGCACTGCTATAGTAGTTCTGTGTGTCTAAAGTACACACTGAGTTGCTACCTTCATTCACTTGAGAGTGAGAACTATTGCATGTTGAAAATCATAATGTAGATAATTTGTGCTAAATTATTTTGTGCAGCAAACTGATGTGTTGCAGTGAAATAATTTTTAAATTGTCTGCTGTGAGCGTTAACACTGAAATTTATGATAAAAAGTAGAAATTGCAATGTCCGTATTACAGCAATTAAAATATTAAACACGATAACCAGTAGAAATTATTAATGCACACTGAAATGCGAGACTCTTTTGTGCATATATGGCAATCTACTTGTAAGATTTTGTCACTAAAAGCAGTTTTTCATTTAACTGCATAGACATGGGCTGGTGACCTGATAACCTAATGTCAAATACAGAAGTGTAAAACAATAAAAGAAAGTGTAACATGATCTAATCATTTTTATGTAAAACAGAAAAATAACCAATGTTTGTACCTCCACTCAAATGCATTACATATTAAACTTATAGTAATAGTTATCACATTAAAGCTGCCAATTGGCTTCAACTGCTTATCCTGAAGAATTGTAATATATTTTTGCTTTTTCTGATCTACGTAGTGTAATAATTAGCTGGCATTCGCTCTTTAATTAGTCAAGCTATCTGCTCACATAGCAAACCTGCAGTGGCTTACTATGCCTTATGAACTGTAAAGTGGGAAATGTTAGCAGTTAACTTGTCAATAACTTCAGTATATCTTCATTTTATAGGTAAGCAGCCCAACCCAACACATATCTTCTTTTTTTTTTTTTTTATTCCAATTGCCTTCTGGTATTTTACTGAATGTAATCCAATGTTTATTTTAATAATGGTTGTGTTCATCCACAGATGTAATCTGTTTCTGCTAACCATGGGTATCATTTAAATAGGACATCCAAACGCCGCTGTGTTTTTCTGGGTTTAATACCCAGATTAAGTACAGACGAACAGACCATGCTCTCAAATTTCATAATCCTCAGAAACAGACATCATTAAGGCATTACGCCAATGAGTCTGTTTTTAATGACATGAGACATGTAATGGTTGATCCATCAAATTACCTCAATCATACTTGCCAGTTAACATGCTTATTTGTACTTTTAAGTAAAGTGAATTGCAAAAAGACAAGACAAATGTGATTTAAAAATCAACTGGTACATGTTTGTTTTTTTTTTTGTTTGTTTGTTTTTTTATGTCTTCTCATTTTCTTGCAATTCATTAAATGCCTTGAAATATATATTTGTTGTCTCTTTTTTGTCCTTGTGGTACAGCCATGTTGCATTGCTATGTTGCTGCATCATGCAATAACTCTTCCCCTCTCTTAATCTGGAAACATCAATTGCTTCCATCATTGCATTTTAGGGGGCGATATAATCAATTTGTAGTGAGTTGTGGCTCAATATCTTGCCACAGGTCTCCCTGTGATACTCCCAGCTTTTCATTGAATGGCTAAACGTGGCTGTTACGCAGGGCTATCTATTGACTTGTGCAATCGTGTCCATATCGTCCGCTCTTTTTGTGGCCAGCGCATGATATTCCTCCTGTTGCTGAGGCGATTTGATGCGAGAACATGCACACAGTTGTAACAGATTTTTTTTTTAAATAGTGTTTGTCCTGGAGGGATGATGGCTAAAACAATTTCAGCACTCCAGCAATGTCATAAATAGCCTACAAAGGAATGAAAAAAAAATAAAAAGAAGAAGCTTTTTTGCAATGGCTCATGTTTGATCTAAATAAAATCCAGACTGAAAGTAGGTCAGCGCTGAGGGAACTGGTGTGGGCCTGAGAGCACCATGTCTGCAAAACCCGCCCACCCCCATCCCTTCTGACTCCCTCGCTCTCATGCGTTCTCTCTCTTTTCATCTTATCTAATAACCCCTTTGCACTTCACTCTGAAATGTCTGACCTTTTGACTGCGACAGGTATATTTTACTGTTTTTTTTTATTGTTATTATTATTCGTTTCCTTCAAAATGGGATTTTATTTTTTCTTGGCTTGCCAGCTGGGTTCGTTTCTTGTTTGCGTTAGAGGCTGTGAATCCCTGTCTCTGGCCTCCTACGTGGTGGGATTATGTAGCTGGCATCATCGACACACAAAAACCAGTCATGCTGGCACATTAAAAAGCTCTCTGGGTTATTACCTTGCCTTACCTTGCTTTTACTCATCTGGGCCAAATTACAGTTCTAAAAATAATCACTCACTGCTGTGACTTCTAACAAACTGTAGTTCAAGTAATAAAACAGTAAATAAATTAAATAGAGCCGATTCCAAAGTCGTCATCCCCCAGCAAAAAAAAAAGAAAGCTAAAATATTTCTTTGAGGTTTCACAAAATGTATCTGTGTAACAATATTCTGGTTAGTCTAAGTATTTTAAGGACAAAATGTAGTTACCAAATATAATGCTGTTAGCACATAATGGTCAATCAGTTATGATATTCTGTTTATAAACTTAATCGATATATTGTCTGTTGTTGTTTTTTTAATATTAAATCTCCAAAATGCTGCTACATAAACAACTGTAGTGGAAAGACCTACAATATTTAAATAAGTGTTTTTGCTTCAATCCAAAGTCTTGTACAACTTAGTCATCAGATGACCAGGGCTAATATAGAGCGCAAGCATAGAAACAACTAGTTGCCAGATTTAAGGAACTCAAACAGTGCAGCCCTATTTCACCAGACAAAGTTGTGTGCTGATAGCCATCCGAGAGCACTTTTTGAGATAGACTTGACCTAAATATGACGACTTATTAATATTGTAAAACTGTATCCCATGTGATTTTGCTTCAAGCTTATAAATGGATAAAGTGTTGTTTCTACCGAGGTGAGAGGGCACCGTAAACTCGATGAACTCTTCCAAAGAGCTGGTGCTAAATTTCCAGTAAAATCTCTACATCCAGTCTGACCATCCATCTCCAGCTCCAAGAAAATGACCTCAAGATACACAAACTTGTCCACATAGGGCAAAGACTGGATGCCCACACAAAGGGAGAATGTACACATGTCAATTTTAATTGATTACTATAAGTGCTTTTTTTAGTACAACTTTAACGCTCAACTGAGCAACTGCCTTATTTCCTGCGATTATGACAAAAGCACTAAGTCGATAAAAGAAAAAAAAGAGATCTATGTGCTTAATTTGGGTATTTTTTTATTAACCTAAAAGAATGGAAAGTGGGAGGTGAGATATTTCCACTACTTGAGTCTGAAAGTTGAAAATGCTACAAAATATCACACTGACAAATCAAAAAGTTTTTAAGTTGGATGATTGTTTTAGTTTACATTTTTTAGTTTCTTGTTTCTTCAAGGGAAAAAAAATTGGTTGAAATTGGTCAAATTGATTGATAAACACACGTCCTCAGATCTTAGCTTACACTGATTTCTAACCAGCTGCCTCTGTTTTAACAATGGTTATCTTGAAGTATGATTTTGCATTCCAACATAAGAAAACACACAATATTTCATTCATTAGATTGAGGATTTTTTATTTATTTTTTTTTACAGTATTTTGGGGGCAAACTTTTGATCCATTTTTCTTTCTAGATAACACAAGTTTCAAAAGATACCAACTTATAAATAATCAATTAAATAACTAATTAGCTGTAAGTACGCAGCCATACAAACAAAAATAAGATGAGTAGTCAAGAAATGTTAGCCAGTTTGTTCAGTTTTTATTATCTGACAAGGTAATACTTTCAGATGAAAACTCAAGATATACTTCTTGTTTTACTCCCAAAACAAGAATCTAAAATATTAATAAAGGGTGCCAAGCCTAAAACACTCACCTTCCCATGCAGGAGCCATAAATATCACCTTGGACCGTAACAGTAACTTGAAAGTGTTTTGCGAGACAGACCACACTTTCACAAGATATATCGTGCTGCTAAAATTTCCTAAGATTATTCTATACCCTTTCTATTAACCAAAACAGAACAGCCTCGAAGGCCTCTAAAAATAATAGCTCTAGCTCACAAAAAACAGGCAGAGTAAAGCAAGGATTCAGAATATACTGTAGGTGGAAGCTGCAAAGCACACAATTCAGCAACTTCTGGACAAACTACTTCTCTCCTAATTCAACGCTCGCTAACGTTTGCTAACACAGTGCCACTTAGTCTCAAATCACTGGAATTTGCAGTTTGTCAAAAAAAAAAACTTGAATATTATAAAATATTAACTAATTACTCAGAAGGTCGGTCTTTGATACGATTGTCACAACAATGATCAAGGCTAGATTAAAGTGTGGGTGAAAACAAGCTTAGCTTTCAAATTGTAGGCTATTATATGAAAAATGGGAATTTCATCATTTAATTTTAGGAGATTGTTTGCAATTTTTTCTGAATTTTCTGCCCATTAGCTGGAAACTATTCGTAGCATAAAGCATTGTATTTATTATTAAAGCACATGTGTTTCATGAACTGTCCAGCAGATTTCATTTGTAAAACAGGCAGTTCAAATGCCACTCACATTTAACTTATTTAATTTTTATTATGATTTTTTGTTTGTTTGTTTTTTTTTCAGATGGAGAGGGCGGTGGGGAACTCTCTCCCCCAGTGGGTGCTGGAGTCAACAGCAATAGCTGGCACTTCCGATACGGTGCTGGACAAGGCTATATGCCTCCTCAGCCTCTGAAACCTGGAGAGATTCCACCAGAGGCCTTCATCATCCCCGGATCTCCAGCCATCATCTCCATCCGCCATGACCCGGGCCCTGTGGATGACAAGGGTGATTTCATAAGCTTCGGCAAGAAGGACGAGGCCAAGAAGAAGAAGAAGAAGAAGAAAGACAAGAAGGACAAAAAGGATAAGGGAAAGGATGACAGCGGGGATGATTAGAGGAGAAGGAGGTGACCAAAAAGCAGAGCTACCAGTTAATCTACCGTACCAGATTCAGAGCCAGAAAAATAAACCAAATGCACAATATAACCAAGGGGTTTCCTTTGTGCCATGTTTGCATAGACCTTGTACAGTGGCCAAAGGCTCGTTTGATCAGCCTTGGCTCTCACATTAACTGAACAACAAATATTCCTAATCCAAAGGCTGGACCAAATTGAAACAAAAAACAATTTATCCGTTAGCGTAGCCTTCCTGTGATTTACCATCCACTCCCCCAAGCCGCTATCTGCTTTGTACATTTGACAACAGAAATGCGCCATAGATGGTGCTCTATTTGTATCCGACCACTGTCGGCTGCAGCAGCTGATGTCAATGTCTCTGGCACTCTTATTTCTTACCAAGCCAACGTGAAGTGAAAGCCAAACGGAAACCAACAAAACAATTGAAGTAGAAGCTTTCCCCTTCAGTCTTACCGAGGGCTTATAGGAATTCAGAACATGACATCTTTTGTAAAAAAGAAAAAAAAAAAGAAAAAAGTTCTAATATTTCCTATGTATCTTTCATGAGGTAATCACCTTTGAGAGTATGAGGTGGATGAGAGTAGCTGGAGCACGCATTGACACAGCTGCGTCTTAATGGAACAGCACATTGGACGGGCTGAAGACCTGCACTGGGTTGCACCAGCTGTCCTGCAAGTTTGTCCCCAGGTTAGTTTATAAGCAAGGGGCTTCATAACTTGTAGTTCATTTAGAATTAGTAAGTTATTGAAATTGATTGTACAGAGTTTTATGAGTATTTTGTCAGCAATAGCAATATGTTGCTATGGTAATTATTAAAACAGATATGCGACTAGACTGATGGGGAAATAGAAAAATGATTAAAAGATAATAGAACTGTTTTTGTCCATTCTCTGCCAATTATTCTTTGCTAACAATTTTCCAAAGCTGCTGTGAGTTTTATCCTATTTGTTTTAATTGATGTGTTTTCTTCTTTGGACTGTTCTATAACTTAAACACTCTTCATCTCAAAACTCCTGGAAGTGAGCAGAGCTTGTGGGTTTATTGCCTTAAATTTATTTACAGTTAATTTTTTTTTCTCTATCAAGCATATGCTACTTGAACTATAGTCTGAAAATGAATAAAATCAGGGATTAATCAGTATACCTCCAACCCCTAGGTGGTAGCACAGTGCTCCCAATACATTATGGAATGTGTGCGATAGGCATCGACTGGCACTAATAGGATACATATGCCACCTTGGTGGCATTAAGACTGAAATTTATTTCAGGTGAATTTTTTGCTACAAGGGGTTGAGCGTTTTTCACGTTTTGTTACATAAACATTTAGCCTCTGTTGTATTTTTAACAATTCTCAAAATAGACAAGATACTTTAGAGTCAGCAATTCAAGCTGATCTTTTTTTTTTTTTAACCTTCAGCTAGTTGACAGTGAAAGATAATCTGTAGAAAATGGACAGAAACATAGAAATGCACATATAAGGGTATTTGCTAAATTGCTAATGCGAAAACGTGCTGTTTGCAAACAAAAAAGGGAAAATGCTACTTTACTGTTCGTGAGTGCAGTTTTGTGATTATGTATCAGTTGCACTTGCTTTATTGCTTGCCTAATTATATAGTTGTTCCATAGGGTAACGCTGAATCAGACTGTTGTGGTATTGCTTGTCAAGTGGGAATTGGAAATAACTAGGGAATCTACATGCAACGTATGCGGACGGCCTCCAAACTTATACATGGCAAGGCACAATATGGTCTTAATAATACACTCACTCAGACTAAAATTCAGACTCTTCTCGTCTCACACATAGAAAAAAACAACAACAAACACTGTCTACCAAACAGGACACATAAAAGAAAAAACAAGTTCAGATCAAGAATCCACACTACTTCCCAGAAGCAAAAGAACTGAAGGCCAGTGCTTAATAAAAGAGTGTATTATATGGCTCAGAAGCAGAAAGGTTGCTTGTCGCCTCATTTCTGTTCAAGCCCCGATCCCTCCGCCTCTGTCTTTGAATGTTAAGTAGTTGTTCTTCGAGCTCTGCACCACTGCCTCAACTGCTTCAATGCTTGTAGGATTTGCTTGCCCCTGCTGCCTGTTTTCTCCCTCGACTCCTCAGATCTACATGGTTTGGCCTCTTTCGAGTCGCCCTCCTTCAGTGAACTGTGCAGTTGTAACAGCGCATAACATTTGTGTATATTCATATAGCCACACAAAGCGACGCAGGAATACAATGCAACACACTCGCATTTCGGGTTCAAATCAAAGCGAGCTTGGGCACTTCTGCTGGCGACTCTCACCTTCTGACTGTTCATTGTTGGCAGCTCTGTTGCCTCTTGCATGGGTTCCTAAGTTTGGCATAGTGAAGACGCCTGATAGGTTAGCAGGACCTCAGATTATGCTCTTCTGGATGTGATGGAGAGGCAAAAAGAGGAGACAGAGGGGAGCAAAAAATCTTGGTCCAGTGCAACGCAAAGCAAAATCGCTGGGCTACTTTTGTGCGAGTAAAGACATTGGAGTTCCTCGATAAGAGCTGATGAACTTGGGTTGACTCAAATCACTTACAAAGAGGGTGAAGCACAGTTCATTGCTTATGGAAATGGTCTAAGGTTTGGATTCAATTAGAGATGGGCTTGGGAGTTGGGGGAGGGGGTTCAAACTAACTGGGGGTGAAACTGTTTGTTGTGCAGTCATTGGTGGTCATCCCAAAAAAAAAAAAAAAGCAGAAAAAGAAAGAAATTCTGCTATTATTCCTACTGTTGTTATTGCTTTATTGCTTTTGCTGAAACAAGGTTGCCCGGAAGTGCCATGTCAAGTACCAAACTTGAGCGGTGAAATGTGAACCACTGTTGGCCAGACTGTTCGAAGCAGTAGGCATCAGGACAAAAATTATTAAAAGCGCCGGAAAATTTCACCTCAGTGTTCCTTTCTTTAGACCATCGTATTGCCAATCACCATTGGGGTATGTACGTAGGTGCTGCTATATGGCCCGATCCCTCCCATTCTCCCTGATTCCTGCCCCCTCTGCGACTTTCTGCAGACATACTTCTGTGCTGTCAGATCACCAAGTGGCTGTTTGCATGTTGTAAGCAAAGGAAACAGATTCTATATAGATACTATATATACATAGATATGTTTTTTTTTCTTCTCCAATGTGTATTGGAATACATATAGATCCGATACTAGAAAATACACTCATGTTGAAAGTCTCGCATTCATCCATCCAAGTAAACAGACGTCTACTTCATAAAGACACACTATTGCAAACAGTAAATTGTGGAAAAACCTAAAAGAATCACATTTTTATCCTGCTGAAAACAACTTCAATCTACTAGATATACATGATGCTGTTGTGTTATATTAAGAAAGGCCTTTTTTTTTTATGTTTTTACCCGTACGATTTTCATAGCGAAGAAAATCAATTCTTAAACTTGTGTTGAGCTTTGTAATGATCAAACAAACACCGATGTGAAATAGAACCATTTAACTCATCCTGCATATCTGTCTGTTGCTCAGTAAAAAGAAAACGTGAAAAAAAAGAAAAAAAATGTATATAAAAACATAAAATGTTGTAAAAAAAAAAAAAACGATAAAATTGATGTAATCTCTGCTTGTGTATAGTGAATGTTCCTCAGTCGCTGGTTGCGGGAGCTGTGACTGGCTCAAACCGGTCCACTGTGTCCGTACAGATCTGTTCATGACCTTTTTTGTACACCTGCTAATCATTGTTACAGTGATAATAGTGGTTCTTATGATTTCATCGATCTGGTAATGTGTTTTGTTAAGAAGTCACAAATAAAGTTTTTTTCTTACATATCTTACAACTTATCAAGCGTTCATTTCGGTGGCTGACATCTTTTCTGTTTCAACTAACATTTACAAATAATTCAAGATTTCGTCTGAAATTATGAATACAACACACCAGCAAGGCCAGAGGATGGTGTAAGCCTCTGGGGTTCAGCGTGCTTTTGTACCTCATACCCTTAGGCATGTCTTAGTTTGTCACCTTCCTAAAATAATGGCCTCATTTTTTATTTTATTTTTTTTGCCAAAAGTGGATTTGGAAAATATCACAACCTCTTTCTGCCCAAAATATGTTTTAGGCAAAAAAGTCACTTCTGTTCAACAAATTTGTTATTTTAGGAAAGTGGCAATATGTAAGTTGCACAACTCACTACAGTTTTGTAATTAGCTACATGTCTACTTCATGTTGTTTTAACCTTTTCCACATTTGCTTTCTCTAAAATTTCAGTTTTTTGGGGGGGTTCCCAGCAATATCTAGAAAATTGCATTAAATGTTGTAGCAATTATCTAAGGTCTGTTTAAAGTGTGGTTATCTTAGATGTAACATTGTTTTTACGTTTTGTGCTGATTATCTCAATGAAAGTCCAACACATAATTCTTTGAAAAAAAAATCATTGTAAAAAATAAATACTACATTGTTGTCCACAAAACACCGGGGCTCTGATCTAATGCTCTTTTAGGCACTTGCTAAAGTCCAGGCAAGTACTCTAGAAATAGTGTTTCTCAAAATATTTAACTTTAACTTTGTGCTTTGAGTAGCTAGTTCTGCTTTTATGTATAAATTTTACTGCTGAAAACTATACCAGAAAACTTTATCAGTAAGCCTTGAATTACCAAAGCTGCAGCACTCTGATCTCAGTTGGTCCGGTGACATGACAGTGCTGCTAATCATAAGGGCCACATTCTAATAAATTAACACATCGGCTAACTAATTAATTCCAAATCTCCTTAATTAGCTTAAATGGAAAATAAAAACATAAATAACTAATTACATACAAATTAGGTGTATCATTCATTAAGATATTAATTGCCTTACCTCAAGCATATAATTATCTAAATTCTTAATTATTTTATGGTTCCAAGCTGCAAAGGCTGTAAATTATGAATTTGGTCAGGCTTAGCAATCAAAAATACAATGTGGAGCTAATGCTGGTCTCAAGACCTCCATTTACATTGAAGGGAAATCTTTTAACATATGTTTCCGGTTTCATATATGAATAAGTTTAGGAAATAAGGATGTGAATTATATTGTGTAGAGCTGATTATGTATGTTTTTTCCTGTCTTGCAGAAAGTCATGAACGATACATTTTTGTGCTGCTCTTGTCTGAAGTCCTTCAACTATAGATTTGGATTCAATTGGAAGCAAATCATTTTGATAATTAGGGATCAAGAACACCAAGAGGATAATGCTGTTTCCAAGAACTAGAGTGCCATCATATATATGGTGAAATATATGATGGTGGTATATATAAACTCCCTTCTCACCCACCGAGGGTGGTTCTTATCCTCTGAGCTCGGGTCCTCTACCAGAGGCCTGGGAGCTTGAGGGTCCTGCGCAGTATCTTGGCTGTGCCAAGGACTGCACATTTCTGGACTGAGATGTCTGATGTTGTTCCTGGGATCTGTTGCAGTCATTGATCCAGTTTGGGGGTTACTGCCCCGAGGGCCCCGATGACCACAGGCACCACTGTGGTCTTCACCTTCACCTTTACACAAGAGCCAAAAATATGTAAAAAAAAAAAAGAAAAAAAAGTGAAGTAAACAAGACAGATCTTTCTGAAAAGATCTTTTGTATCTGCTTTTGAAAAACGAAACTTATTGTTATTGCCTAACCAGCCCCTTCCTGAGGAATTTGGGTAAAACAGAGCAAAGTTCCAGAAAGTACTTTGTCTGGAGTCCAAACCAGCTCTTTACGTAACTGAACAGAAAAAAGAAGTCAGACTTTTCTCTTCAACTCAATCCGAATCAGGATTTGCATGTAGACCAGATGTTGGTCCTCTGACCAGAGCACATCCTCCTACATGTTTACTCTGTATCTGACGTGGCTTTTGGAACCTTATTATTTCTACCATATATTTCATATTGACTCACTTTCCTAAAATGTCAGATTTTCACTCATATATTATTAAGTTTATGGTTGCATCATGAACAACTGGTAAACAATTCAAGGGGTTATGCTTTTTTTTCACAAGACATTGTATTTATTTTGTTAACAAGTGGGACAACAACGTATTAATAAATATCGTTAAATAACATCTTGCAGTAAGGATCCTGGAACAGAATATGGAAGCTGCTGAATGACAGCTTGGAAACAAAAAGAAGCGATGATAAGACCTTGCTGATGCTGCCCCTCAGTGGCTACTTTGTTAAATTGCAGGCTCTCTATTACAATTGTAAAAAGTTGCAGGAGAAGCCTTTGATACTTACAAATCTTATTTGTTCGAATGATGACTAATTATGAAGTCAGTCGAAGTTATCAATAATTTAACATTAAATTGAAAATAATTTCAAAGACCATTTTTTCTTGTGCCATGATTAACAAACCATTAAAGTTAATGAATACTTAATAGGCTGCATTAAAATATTTTGTCTCTTTTCATATTTTTGATTAATTGACTCACAAAATTGGAACATTTTGACACATGTACAATTCAACTGAAAAACAAATAATAATAAAAAATTTTTTTCCTGATCTGTGCATTTTTTTTCAGAGTTTATGACTAGCCAACATCTTGACAAAATACATTTTGTTTTAATCTATCAGACTGTGACGTGGTTTCCTCCTCACAACCCTCTCTTGGATCATAGTAAGAATTTCTAATAACATTTTTCACTAGATTCTGACTTCCAGACTTCCATTCTGTTGTTCTTCCAAACTCATCATGATGCTGAACAAAAAAAAAAAAAAAAAATCCTTCTTCTTCTTCAGTTTAACCTTAAGTCTAAGAAACACCTGTAGGCTTTGGATCAAAACCGACTGATATTAAGAACTTCTAAAGATTTCAGCCTCCTGGACCAATAAAACAGGGATGCTGTCACCACCAAAGAGGGAACTGTGACACAAAAGTTCTATTTCGTTTCACAAAAACCGCTGTCACATCGGAAAAGTGTTGCAGCTCTTTTATGTGTTGCTTAACAAGTCATGCCCCTTGTTTGTGCACATACGCTTAACAATCAAAGCTAATTCTGAATCTGTGAAACAACAGGCCATGACCGACTGTACTCTGCGATCATGTCCGCTGGTGTTGGAGGGCAGGTGTGAAATCGCCCCTGTTTCCAGTGTTCCATAATTAACCTGAAAAAAAACAAACTGCTGCTCTCAGCTCCACCTGGACCCCTCATTTGCAGCCTGTGCCGCCTCTAGCCGCAGCAACAAAGCATCACTCTTCACAAGGAGCCACACACTCTAAAAGCTATCTGAGTGGAATAGAAACATTGTGCTGATGCAGAGGAAGAATGTTCAAGAAATTCATGAATGAATAATGAATACACACCAGACATGGAAAACTTTTGCAGCGCCAATAAAGCAGCGTTCAAGGCGTTTTTCGCTGATATCATATAATGCAACCCACATCCTCGGCAGCTTTGGGGTTGTATTCTTCCGAGAAAGTCAGCTCCGTGATCCCCGGGGAGCCAGAAATGGAATTTAAGATCAGCCTACTAAACGCGGCACCATCAGTAAGCTCACAGACCTATTTAACAGCACTATGAGTAAAGTGATGCATGTGCAGTGCTGTAAACCCCCTGCTATCTGAGTGTATTATATAAATGCTGCAGTTTCACTTGTCATAATAACAGGTCCAGAGAACGCTGGATGAGTTTATCTCTGGCTTTCAGGTATAAGTTCCTTTTCTGTATTCAGTGAGAGCAGGTTGCTTGGCTTAATACAATTACTCTACACAATTTCAATTTAGATTTAGGTTATTTATCTAGAAAACAACTTGAAGCTAAAGCTAACAAAATTGTTAAACCAACATTTTCAACAAGAATAGCACAGTTATTGTATTCATTTTGATACCGGTTGCACTGCAAAATGAAAGTGCTACATTGAGGTTCATGTTGCTGTCATGAAAACAGAATGTATTTCCAAATATTTGGTGTAGGACTTGGCTTTAATGCATGTTGGGGGCCTTTCATTTTTGAATTTGTATTTTCTCTCAAATTTCTGAGGGAAAATGGAACATTTGCTGTAGAGAATTCTACAATCTACAGTCTAAGTCTAGTCTAAGTCTAATTTCTTTTGTAGAATTTGTTCTTGTTTTCATAATCAAAAAATATTTTATTGTTTTCTACTGTTTTGACTTCTTGGGCTTATTTTTCAGTATTGTTTGCTATCCATCCGTCCATTTTCTAGCCTCTGTCCTTAGTGTCATCAGGAGGCCTGTCTCCAGCTAACGTTCCAGGCGAGAGGTCGCCAGTCTGTTGCAGGATAACACACAGACACACAGACAGGACAAACAACCACGCACACACACACACACACACACGCACGCACACACACACACACACGCACACACTCACATGTAGGAAGAGACCAATTAACCTGACAGTCATGTATTTGGTCTATGGGAGGAAGACGGAGTACCCTCAGAGAACTCAAGCATGCACTGGAGGCTGGGAATTGAACCCAGGACCTTCTTGCTGCAAGGCAACAGTGCTACAAACTGCACTGCTGTTCAGCCCCACATGAAACATATGTTTTTAAAAAAATAAATAAATAAATAAAAATATGTTGTTCAGATATAGGGGTGCAGTTGAGATAAATATTCAGAACATGTTCGTATATGGAAAGTACTTAAAGTTTGCTCAGCAACAAATGTAACAATGTTTTATGGTGAAATCATTGTATTTTCACAAATTTTGTTTCTATCACTCTGATGGAGTGACACAAAAATACACTTGTTCAGAGAAAACATAATAAATAGACCTGCAGTTGGTGCCAAACGATGGGAATGACGTGAGAAACCGAACACTGTTTACATCGACAATAATGGGAAAGTGAGTCTTATTTGTATGTATGATGGAAACACATTACCACTGCCACACGGTGTCCATCCAGAGTAACTTTTGTTCATATCTTTCAAGGTGCTGCGTGTTGTTTTCCATTTATTTTATTTTTCTATTGCTACTTCCATTTTATGCTTCATTTAAATTGCATGGTAATTTACAGACGCTCCCTACTCTGCTGATGCAAGTCACTGCCTCCCTCTCCTGTCTATTTTTCGTTCTCTCTCTTTGCTCTCTCTTCACCCAGCTGTAGACCAGGACACACGCATGCTGGGAAGGAGGATAGTGGCAGAAAGAAAGGGGTGATAGAAGGAGAGAGTGAAGAGGCGGGGGTAACAAAGGACAAGACAGATAGTAGGACAGAGAAGGGGGGCTGCAGCCCAGTGTAGAAGATTGCCATGTTCTGACAATGGGGTGTGCATGGAGCAGCAGAACCAAAACAGGACACAGCTCAGCTGTGTGTTGGATCAATAAACGGTAGATGAGTTCAGACTTCAAGCGATGGAGTGGAAACCTTATTATTAAGAAGCATTGCTCGACCGGACTGACTGCATATTGAGTCCTGAGTTTGGATTTTCTAAGAACTGACATTACAAGGATAAAGTCTCTCCAATCCTTGGGAGCCTACAGAAACTTGGAGTAATACAAACTTGAAGCTGGATTGCATTAATATTCAGGTAAGAGTGGGAGTCAGAGTAACCATAAATTTGCAGTAAACAGTGATAAAATGTCCCGTGGCTTTTTTTTTTTTTTTTTTTTTTTTGTTGCCTGTTTTATTTAGCTCTGCAAAGGGGGATTTAATGAAGTATTAACAGAACATGACAGTTGTCACTTATCATTAGACTGTGCAGGAAGACATAGGTCACTTGACTGAGCTCAAGTAACACTAAACACAACAATCCAAAATAATAGTCCCTCCTGCTATAGCTGACGACATGCTCTTCTTGCAGTTTTAAACATCCGTGTGCATGTAAGCGTGTGCGCGCGTGTGTGTGCATGCGTGCGCGGGTGCATGTAGGAAAGTCATCAAAGGAGAAGAAGAGGAGGGAAGGGATGTCACAATGTGTTTGCATAAAGAATTTGTCATAAATCAACACTTGAAAGCAAAAACACACATACACACACTTTTAGACTGGATGCTTTTTCATAGATAAGTAAAAAGGCTGCTTTGCTGCCAAAATCCACACATTGCTGCCTTGTTGCCAAACTGCGGTACAGATTAAAAAAAAAAAATGACATGAGAATACTGGCACATGGATATGATAAAAGAAAAAATAATAATGAAAATAACTGTGACAAAAGATGTGAAGGGAACTGTAACCCAGAAGTGACAGTTTGAATTTTGGTCTGAATTAAATTTGTGGTGTGGGTTCACAATAATATATAATAATAGAAGTACTGTGCCAAGAAAGTCGCTGCTGACCTGGAATTGGACGCTTTAGTTTGCTTGACTGGTTCTGATCCATTAATCAGACATAGGGATGGACTTAAAATGTTATCACTATAATTTGTAGTTTTCATTTTCTTATGCAATTTGCTCTTGTTTTTAGTTCTCATTTTAGCAGTTTATTTAATTGAGTCACATTTCCTAACTAACTGTATTGTTGTTGTTTGTAAATTGTTTTTGTTTTATTAAAACAGATCTCTCCTGTAAATGAGAGGCCGGCCGTGGATCTCAATGAGTTATTCAAGTTATTTCCTTTCTTACTTATTTTCTGCTTTAATGAAAAATGTTGAAAACTGGGTGCACAGTTCTTTCTGTCTTATCTCGAGTCTGCAATTGATTTCTTGACAGCTCAATCTTCATCATTTCTGCTGAATTGAAGCAGTTTTTTTTTGTCTCTGCTTTAACTCTTGCATTGTGGTAGATAATTCTGCTTGCTGGTGGATTTTCTTTGCACTGCCATTTTGAGCGCCTCTCACTGTAAACGTGTTCCTCTTTTTCTTTCAGACGGACAAAATGATGTGAAAAGCAGCGTCTCTTCTTGACTTTTCAGACCTTTAAGTGAGCCAAACAAGGGATGGGAAGACGAGCGGCTGACCTGACGACGCCGGTTCCGGTGTTGGGCGTCCCCGCCTCTGTAGGGGTACGGAGTTGGAAGACAACAGGAGGAGACAGAAGCGGAGGAGTCCTGCTACAGACCTGGGGACAGTGCAGTATCGGCATTCAAACGTCTCCGGGGATTAGCAGACCACTTGTTCAGTTACCTGATAGCATCTCAAACAATGTTACTCAAACATCCAACACAAATACCACCGAGGAAACCAGGGCTATATCAGTTCATCTAAAGAATGACAGAGAGAAAAGGGCTATTTTAAGGCAGAAAACTGAGGAAACCAAGATCAAAAAGGAAGTGACTTTCAAAGCACTTGGAGGTGTCGACTCAAAGAATCTTGCCGGGTGTCAGAAGAGAAGTGGTGGGACGTACTGCTACGCCAAGGCAATTAAAACCAATCCCCTCACTGCCGGCACAGCCAGCAGCAGCAGACCCAGATTGAAGTCTTCCACCCGTTACATCAATGGAAGCGTAGTGGATTCTGAGGCAATCGGCGGGATCATCGAAGTCAAGGATGACCCAGAGCCCTCAAAGGCCGCAACTTCTCATGGAACGGTCTCCCACCATCCTTGCGCAGACCAGTCAAAAAATACGTGCAACCACTGTGGCGGGATGCAGTCTGTAATATCCAGAGGCGCCATCCCGGGGGAAACCAGCCCCATTTCCAAAGCTCTCTTTGTGGAGAAGGCATCAAAGCCAGCCCTTACTTCTCTGTTTACTGCCACGCATTTACAACTTCCTTGTACACTGAAACAAAGCCAGCTAAACTCTGAGACCAAGAGAGTAAAAAACACACCAATTGCAAGTAACCCACACTTGTATTACCTTAATGAAGAGATAATATATAGACAAACACCCCACCCTGCATGTCCAGTACATTCCAGAGTTGGTCCAGAAACTGTGTACCATACACATGCTTCAAGTGACGTGACATCCTTCCAACCGGAAGCCATTCTCCAAACTAAAACTGTTACAGTTGCTAATGCCAGAATTGAAAGCAGGCAGGAGAATTCCACTATAAACTGTTTTGCAAAGCCCTACCAGAACAATAAAATCTCCCTCCTTTCAAGTTTTTGCTCGAAACCTCAAATGGCCACAGCGACCAAAACTTTTCAAACTTCCCCTAAGCGGCTCAAGACATCGTCTCACCATTCCCTACAAGGTCATATTACTCAAAATGTATGTGTCTCTGTGCATGCTGTGCCCGAGTGTCCACCTTTATCTTTGTACACTGTAGCCATGGGAACTCAACGAACATCCAGTCCAGTTGCACAGGGAACTTTTAATTTGGAGAGGACGTGTCCGCATAGTAATGCCAGACCAGCGCCAGAAGCCTTGCACTCAACACACCAAGCACAACTTCTTGAATCAGACCCTTCTTCACATCTCACAATGGCAAGCTCCCCATCTGATTCAGATAAATGCCAGGAAAAGCCGCCTTCAAGAGCTGCCGATGTATCGCCAGCTAAAATATCTTTTGTTGACAATGCAGCTCAATTCCCTGCTTCTGCTAATCCGCCTCAGAAACCTGCACCGCATCCACTCCTAAGTGCCGCTGTCCCGAAGATCACTTTGAATTATAGAATTAATCCAGATCAAATTACATGTAGAGGCAGCACAGACAAAGCCTTGGCTCCGCAAATTCACTCGGTTAAGCCTAACTCCTCAGACTCTGGAACTGCTCTGCATATTTCCGCATCCTCTCCACGCACAATATCTGGTGCATCTAAGTCTCCTGACGCAAAAGTTGAGTCGCACGCAGCTCTCCTGAACTCCATTGCTGGTCATTGTACAGTATATAAAAATACGACCGTCAAAACTGAGGTGAAACAAGTCACATCCCTGCCGTCGCTGGGTAGAGAAAGACAAGATAATCTTGCTGCATCTGGTACATGTTTGCTTCCGTTAACAGACCCAACTGAGGTACGAAGGAACAGTGATGCAAACGACAAAAACAAAGCTCATCGCACACAAGCACCAGACATCAGCAGTCAAAACAGTCATAAACCTTGTTTTTGGGGTGTCGTTACCAACCAGCAGAGCAACTCCATAGCAACTCTGCTCGTCAAGTCACCAAACATGTTAGAAACCGCTGAGGGAGGTAGTGAAACTAAAAGCCACCACACTGATCCAACCATCAGCCCTACTGTGGAATTACAATGTAATAAAAACAAATGTAGTGACCATGCCGTCAATGAGTTAGTTGTGCACAAGTCTGAAGAGCATAAAAATTCACAGGTCATTAACCTTCAGAATTGCTTTCCCCCAGTTATGTCAAGCACCTTTCTTTCGCAGGGTTGTCTGGACAGAGAAAAGCAAAGTCTTAAAATTTCTAAAGGATTCACACAAGCAGACTATGAGGGACACAGTGCAACAAGCCCACTGGGACATCCAGCCAGGCACCCATGTTCAAATGCACAACAGTTTGCCTTTGGTGCAGCAGCCAGCCGTGCAAATAGTACGTTTGAATCCAATGCAGCTGGGCAGAAGCATCTCGGTTATTCATCGCCCCCGGTCGCAACACAAACTAACTGTGAACCCAATATCTCGCAAACAAACACAGAGGTGAAACATATCACCCAGTCTACTGACTGCCAAAATTCCAATTTCGATATTACATTACGAAGGCAACCACACACAAGTCCAGAACGTTTTGTCAGCCTGCCAGCATCACTCACCAGCGAAGGAGGGCTCTCACCACAAACCGGCCCTGAACGGGAGTTCGACCTACAGCCGTCTGCAATGCTCTCTAAATCAAGTTTCACCCTCCAGTCCAGAGAGTTGGAGGAAATAAGCAGACCAGATTTAAAGTTTAGCCCCGCTGCTCCTCAGTCGGGCCCAGAGGCCACCAGGCTGTCTCACTCCCACCCGTCCGATGCAGCGCTGCTGTTGCCGCCTTCCCCGCAGTGCTGCAGATCTGCAGGCCTGGAGCAGAGGCTCAAGACTGTGGAGGCCAGCCTGGCGGCCAACAAGGACAGGATCACCATCCTGCTTAACATCATTCAAGACCTGGAGACATGCAATGCTCCCAACAGCCTGTAAGTCTGTGCTTCACTGTGGCAGCTGGGTAGATAACTTGTCCAACATGTATATAGTGCAACAGAGCCACTTTTTAAAAAAGCTATTGATTATTCACGCAGAAAATTAAAGGTTGGAGGCAGACCGTCGCTGATCGTCTTCCTCTGTGAAATTGTCAAGGCTAACTTTTATAATTAGCCTTGTCATGTTTTTCACGTTAAGTTTTGCTGTAGGTATTTTTTTTCTCATTTCTATAAAAATCTTTTCACATTGATCCTGGGAATGATTGCCTTGTTTTTTTGTTTTGTTTTGTTTGTTTTTTTTACAATGCGGATGTGGAATAACAGTTATGGGCTTGAATTGAACTGAACAAACCCAACTGAATTCATATACTAGAAAGGTTGTTGGTGAAGCACCACTTTTCTGCATCTGTTCCCTGTGTGACTAATCATTGGCTTCTCTGTAAAAAAAAAAAAAAAAAAAAAAAAAAAAAAGCACCCAATGCAAACAGAACAATGATTTGAAGGTCACTAAAATATTGCTGGCTTAAAAGCGTGTTATTCACTACAGGTAAAGCAAGAGCAACTTATGAACATTTCTTTCAATGTAAAATACATAAAACAAATTTGTGTTTAATAATCATTTTAGACTTTGGAGCAGATATGCATAAAGACAAACCATTTTCTTAAAAAAAAAAAAAAAAAGCAATGGAATAATTTTATTTTAGCTCAAGTTAAACCAACTTCACATCCTTGCCCAGATGTACGGCCATGTTTATTTGAAATAACCACACCCTGCAAAGCATGTGCCACACTCTTTGACAGGTCATGCAAATAAGCAAAATAAAACATTTTACGATTTTCAAGTGTTAAAGCAACGCCTCGCAAAATAGTCATCCCAAAAACCTCCACTGCTAATCTTTTGCATGTTTTTCAACCCAATTGGGACTTAAGAATAAAAAAAGATATATATTTATTTCTGTTTTAGTGTAAAACTTATTTGTGTGTTCAGCTCTCTAATTTAATGGTTAGCTGCAGAACAAGGAGTTTAGATTGTTTCCCTAAGCAATATAAAGGGAAGCCATATCTCACTAGCACAAAATTCTTTTAATATTAGATACTTTTTACGTTTACTACCATTGTCATTGCAAACCCCGCCGCCCCACCCCGGAAAACAATGACATAACAGGTCATATAAATGTGTTTTCGAGGAGACTTTAGGTGACAATTGCATAATAATAAGTCATGGTTGTTAGTGCAATGATGTGGGGCTGCGACATCATTAAAAGCCTGCAAACAGGTCAGCGGGTGTGTGTGCGTGTGCGTGTGTGTGCGTGTGCGCGTGTGTGTGTGAGTGTGACAGAAACCTACTTGGGCAATTCAAGGGGCCACGTCTCACTGAGATTTATTTTAGCCACCCGGCTCTTCTGGGAAAAATAAGGGGAATTAAAACCCCCTTCTGGCAAAGTGTCTCTGTCAGTCACTCTCACTGGCTGCTCTGCGTTAATAAGTTGTGACTGCCTCTAAGGTCATCTTTCAGAATAACAGACTCCTAATAAGAGACGAGTGTCTAACAAAACGCGTGCCAGGCAGCTCGTCACTGCCGCCAGCAGCCTGAGCAAATTCAGAAGGAGAGGATAAGTGCAAAGATGATTGAGCTGCTTATCCGAGAAGATGAGCGCTGTGGAAGTAATTTGCTTTTGTTTGTTTTAGTCGGAGATATCATAAAAGCGAACTCGACCTGAGAAACTGCTCGACCTGCCAGAAGACTGCTTGTATTGTGTACAGGTGAGGCAATAGCGAAATCTTTGATCTGACGTGTCTATTTATTTATTTATTTGGTGACATAGAGATCTCTGGTGTGTGATGAATTTTGTGAATTTAGTGCTGCTTCTTGGTGTTTCATTTGCTCAAGTAGAGATGACGTTGAAAAGTAAAACCTGGACTTTGATTAACACAAGTAATCTATCCAAACACTTAGGGTGAACGAAAAACATGGACTTTGTTGAGAGAGGTTGGCTAAGGGCTCAATTTATGGATACGCCTGCTGCTTTTCATTTCTCTGAAATTGTGATGTATTTGCTTCACACCTGATGAAAAGCTGCCACTGCAGTTGAGAGAGAGACGTCTTTGTCTCATTTCATAATACAGAAAGAGAGTGTGTTTTCGTCTGAGTGTACACCACAAATCTTCTGAAACGTCAGTAAATGCAAACAATAGCTCCATGCGGCAAGGGAGAACTTCATCTGTAATTACTTCCCCACATTTTGTTATTCCATTCTTTCCTGTGATTATTTGTAAGCAAACTCTTAGACTATGATCAGGATTAAGACAAGAAGAGTTTTCTACATGTGTGACTTTCTTCCATGCATCATTGTAAAGGATAAAATTTAATTTTTGCTGAAGGAGTTAAGACTCTTTGGTCTTCGATTTCAATGTACATAATTGCTTTTGATTTATATTGGCTTTATTGTTGCTCATGTAATGTTTTAAGATTCATCTTTTTTTTGTACCTCCCATATCTGTGCCTTGACTTGGTTTGCACTCATTTGCAGAAATGTTACATCATGCGTAGGCAGCAGGAAAGGTAAAACTTCAACAATTTGCCCCAGTGATACTGGAAGCAGGAAGGAGGTTAAGTGAGGTTGTTAAATCTAAAAGCATTCTCCTCCTCATTCTGACAATAAAAGCCATCTTCAAATATTCAAAACCTGTCCCTTGATCTACTTACTTTCAAAACTGCTGATGTTTTAGAGAGAAAGATGGTGAAGTGCTTAATGCTGCATGTTGGCATCTGGACCTAAGAGGCCAAGTCAGACATGAGCATATTTACATAAGCTGTGACTTTAGAAGAATATGGGTGCCACGCTGGATAATGTGCTCATGTCCAAAGTAATCACAGACTTCTAAAATCTCATAAGGAAAGACGTTGCACATATAGACACCGTCACACAATGCAACTTGTCAGTAGCAGCTCTTAAGTAACATGGCATGAAGATGTTTTAACCTCCATACAAATGATCTGGAAATCCTCAGTTTGGACAAACTAAACCTTTAATAGATTTGATTAATAATCTTTTTGTTTTTCCCATGTCTCTATCTAGTGTTGAGTATGACTTCAGGCAGCAGGAGCGTCACTTCTTGGAGGTTCTGAATCGCTCACCGGGTGACAGCAACAGTTTCCCCGCACATCTGGCGGAGCCTTTAAACCTCAGCCTTCTCCGAAACGCAATCTCTAAGAACCTCACAAAGACAAAGTTGAAGAGCAAAAAGTTGTGCAAGACTCTGCTCAAGTGGATTCCAAGAAAAAAGTCATCCGTTGTGGATCTCTGTGCTCCCAGCATGTGACCAGCATGCAAGATTCTACCAAGAACTACAGTGAGGAATAATTTTCATAAAAACTAACCAGAAAACTGGCAGCTACCCATTACTAAGAGACATTGGGTTATCATTTAATCAACCAGGACTATGGTACCACTGGCTATGAGATACTGTAACATAGTTTTTTTGTTTTTGTTTGCTTGTTTGTTTTTTTCTAGAAGTTTTCTTAACAAGACAAATTTAAATGCAAAACAGAAAACAAAAGTGAATTTTTGTAGAATGCTATAAAAGTTTGTTCTAAAAGCTGCTGGACTATTCGGAGCAGATGTACAAGTTTTCAAATTACTTTAATGTATTTAAATTCAAATTCTGCCTTATAGCAGCAACCAACGTGAGAGCATAATATTTTTTATTTTATGTGACAGAGCAAGATAAAGGTCAGCATTATATAAAAAGAAACTTAAACTTAAAACAATTTGAACCCAAAAAAGTGCATTTGTGTACAACCCATTGCTCTCATAACCCACAATAAAGTCTACAGCAACAAAACTTCAGAAATCACCTAAGCAATAAATTATACTTAAATGCATGTAATTTAATCTCAGGAGAAATAAACTGTTCTGAGACAAAACAGTATACAAATAACTTTGAAAACATGTTGAAAGCTTGGCTGCATAAATGCGGTCATCACTCTTAATAATGTTTCCACTCATGTCTTAGAATGACTTTGTGGAACAATTAGAGCCTTTGACCAGAACCTCAGACTGCGAGACGATGTATTTTTACGGTGCAGAGCAACATATCCCACAGGATCCTGTGTATTGATCTCAAAATTGAAAGAGTACAGCAGAACAAACTGACCAAACATCGTTATCTGTCTAAACAGTCAGAGCGGTCAATGAGAATATTGATGTGGCGCAAAGAGGCTCAACTCTTTCAGATAGGTATTTCAAAAGTGGTAAAAGGATTTCTTTGTTTTGCGTTTCAGTGTTAATATTTAAATATGCCTGGTTGTATTTGATGACTAACCACAATCCCAGCTGCAGAGGATCAAATGACTTAATGACTATCAGTTAATTAATCCATATGGATGTTTGCATGGTTTAAATCAGTCCTTACGAATGTGTTAGAATGGCAAACCTAAATCAGAACTCATAATAGCAGAATTTATGTCACAACTTGAAACTTATCAGATGCTCTTCATCTGTTGTGGTTGAGTTTTCAGCCACTTTTCAAAGAAAAAGTCTCTAGACATCAACTGGCAGAGACATGTCACAAAGTTCTTGCATTTGTCATTGCAATAAAATGGTGATTCAAAAAGTCTTGACTTAGACACATCGAATAGAAATGGGTATTGCACTTCCCAGATTTTAAACAATTTGTTTCATTTCACTTCAGTCTATCACATAAAAAGCAAAAAGAACATTAAAATTTCCTTCTGGTCATACCTGGACAACATGGGAAGTAAACCTGAGGGGTATTATACCCAGCATGAATGGTCCACAGCCTGACAATCACTATATGTCAGAGCAGGGGGCTGCCTGCACTCAAATATATGAGTTTGGGTATTTTATTTTTTTTTTTACTCAGTGTATCCCTGGTTGATGCATGGTGTCATCACATTCAACTGAAACCAGAGGCTTAGATAAACAAAATAAAAAAAAATAATAATAATAAAAGAAAACACAATTTCTCACCACCTGAACTGAAGTCAGAAAAAATATTCTCTTTCTTTTGGTCAGTTAGAATTACTAAAATTATTTACATTTGCATATTGAGACATTGAGATAGTAAGAGAAACAATCTGTCAGGGATGTAATTTTTAATGTATTCAAAAGAAATCAGAAATTCAGATAGGTTTTTCAAAAGTGGTATAAGGATTTCTTTGTTTTGCGTTTCAGTGTTAATATTTAAATATGCCTGGTTGTATTTGATGACTAACCACAATCCCAGATTTCTACAGTATATCTAGTTTTCTATGTATGTCTGTTCTCTTTGCACTGCTGAGATTAACACAGCTGACTGAAAGTTCACCTATTATCTTGTCCCCCTTAGAATAAACTCCATAAGCTTTATTTCACTGACTGTTGATTTCTCCCCGGTGTTTTGCGATTCCTAATAAAGATCCAGCACATCCAACTGTTTTCGCAGATGCAAAATGCCCACATGGGCCCCAGAAAAATAGAGTGATCTCCATTATGTCTCTGTCGATCGTGCGATGGTCTCAAAATCCCCAAACAATCTGAAGTTCATAAAGGGTTTCAGAGGAAAACAACGACGCGACAAAGGCTGCAGTGAAGCATGAGTCACAGACGGGTTGGTCATGAGCGCGGGAACATGCTCCTGAAGAGCAGCGTGGACAAAGACTGGCAGACATTATATTCCAGCTAAAGCAGCAGGACTGGTGAAATTAGTGTGAAAACTTGAAAGAAACAAAGGAGAACAACAATGCTGATATTAGCTCCTGAACTCAGAAAGCAGATGTTGCCCTGGTTCTTTGATAGAAAGATGTCAAAGAAGAAATATAAGAGTGAAAATTTGTCCCTATATCAATGGAACAAGAGGGAAATATGGGCTCAAAGCGATCGTAAAATAAAAGAAAACGTATCACATTGATAACCTTCACTAAGGTATCTCAAAGACTAAGAAACAAATCGGTCTCACGAAATCAATCTCTCTTATCTACTGAAAACACACATTCTATCTACTAGTCCAAAACTCTGAGGCAAGCTTTATCTGAGTAAGAAAGTAAATTCTCAGCATTTGAGCCAAAAGAAAGCTGTTATATTTTTCCGGTTTGAGGTATAATTCAGCTCAACATTGAGATAAAGAAAAAGAACTTTGAGTGATTAAAATCAGAGGAATACTGGGGCACATGCATTCCCATATGTAGAGCCCTAGAAGGTAGTATGTTAATCAGATTAAATCTGAATGAGATTCAGTGGCGTGACCTTAAAACAGGCTGCTCGTGTTCCCTCCAGCGTGGCCGAATTAAAACATTTCTGCAAAGACGAGTGGGCCAGAATCCCTCCACAATGTTTTAAAAAGCCCATCGTCACTTATCACAGATACTTTATGGCGGTTGTTGCTGCTATCAAATTATCAAGATGCTGATAAGTTCTACAGAGGCTCTGATTTTATTTTCCAGCAGGACTTGGCATCTGCTCACACAGCCAGAAGTGCCGGTACCTTATGCAATGGAAATGGTGTCACCTAATTAGTCGGCCAGCAAGTCAGACCCCTTAAAGAGTGTAAGAAGGGAATTTGAAGACAAAATTTATGAAATACGTTCAGTATTGTGAAAAAAGATTTTTCAGTTTTGAGAACTGAAAACTGAAAATCTGCCTTTTGCTTTACGAAAGCAATAGGAAGCATTGTTACTCAAACAAAAACCGTGCTGTAAAATAATCTAAGGATAATAAAGGAAATATATTGCATTTCATTACTTTAAAAAAATCACAGAAGAAAAAAAAATAAGAAAATGATTAAGAAATATCCCAGTAAACAACAAATGTATTTAGTTAATTATTAGAGATTAGTGAGACAATCTATTCTAAAATAACAACTGAAACTTTACCCTAGATATAGATATTTTGGTTGTGCAATCACCACAAAAGAAACTAAAGTGACTTTCTTATCCACCATGCAAAGTACTGAGGATGTTGGAAGAGAATTCTACAACAAGCAGTAGATGACATAACAAATAAAGATCACCATTAGGAAAAGGCAAAAGGCCTTTGGGAGTTAAAGTAGGGTGCTGAAATGGAGTTGGATAAGAGAAAAACTGAAAGAATTCAATAGGAAATCTGGATATGAGGTTCACATTTTATTCTGCTGGACTGTAGCCAGATTGTAAATTGACCAACAAAATGTGAAATAGAGAAACAGGAACAGGGGATCAAAGGATACAGTTGCTGTTGTTTTGAGAATTGTCAAAGAAAGGCCTCATGGCTAAACCCCACTGCTCAAGTCATGCTTGGTGCCACTGGTTCCAGTAGGCTGGAAGGAAGGCGGCTCCATGTGAAGACCATGGAATCACAAAATCCACGGTATTGGACCCCAATCCAATTTTGTATACCTCCCTTGCCATCCATACAATACATGTTGTCAATGGGAATTAGTAAAGAGGTTCTTCACAGGACAGTCATGAGAAGAAGTCTTTTGACAGATGGGCTCTGTGAACTGCTTTTGCATGTCATTGCCGCTTAAAAAAAGCCCCTCTGTCAAGAGGGATACCTGCTGCAGCAGCCGGCTGCAGTTTGACACCTCAGCACAACCTGGAGCTCCATTATTCAAATGAGGTGGAATCAAGCATCTCAAATCAGGATAGGCCACGTCGACTTTGCAGCAATGAAAACATCTCCACTGGGATCTACTCATCAAGCTCTAGAATTCGTCAGGGCCGTCCTTTTTTCTCGTCAGAAAATAAACATTTCTTCTGTCCGTCGGTGTTGCTTGTATAACTTTGTTTTGGAAAGTCCAAACAGGCACATTTTTATCGCAGTAGAAGGCACAGCCCTGGTAGAGACCTTATAGTCTGCCATTATACAGAGAAGACTTCATCAATAGGGGCCACAGTTTGGTCAAGGATCTGTCTTTGTCTTTAAAGACAGCCAGCTGAAAACCTGAGCTAAAATCAAGGGAAAATGTTTTGAGCCTCAAAATATTATGATATTTAAAATGACTTTCACTCTGCCCCACCTCGGCAGCATGACTCACTGTGAGAGGCCTTGAATGTGCAGCTCATTAATCCTGCCTCATAAGAGACAGAAAGTCTTCCTGTCTTTGCCATCATGGTGAAGCGAGAGTTATAAAATTAAGCTTTAGATCATCAGATGAAGAGCTTGTTTGAGTTTGAATGCATTTTTTAAAAAATAATTTGCTCATTCATTTTGGTCTCTTGTTCTCTTGTTTTTTTTTTTTTGTTTTTTTTTTTGTTTTGTTTTTTTGCATTTAAAGCTAAACTCAAACCAAACAGAGAAAATGCAAATCCTTCAGCAGGAGGAGTTTAGGTTTAATTGAAGGACATGTTTCAAAAGAGTCAACTGGCTCAGACAGAGAAAATAATGAAGTGTGAAGTCTTCAGAAAATGAAATATTTTCAATAAATGAACCGTCAGATTTGATCACCTTAATGATTATCTTCACAGTTCATGAAAATGACTTCATTTTCAAGAAAAATAAACAGAAATGCATGTTGTTAGTTAAGCGTAATGGTAAGAAATTGAAGCAGAAAGGAACAATTTGGCACTAATGTGTACAAAATGGGGCCTCGATTTGGCAAAGGGGGATAAATTAATATGAGCTGATTTACCCAAATCAGAAGTAACACCCTGGTCTGCAAACTTTTAGTGGTTTTCAGCTCATTATTTTGGTTCGCTGGTCCATCAGGTTGAGCATTAGTGCTTTGAGCAGCCTCTGCATAAGGAAGCCACAGGCAGCAACTCGATCCCAGTCTGAAAACTCCATAATAAAGAAGCTGAAACACAAATAACAAGAGTTTGTGTAGAATTTTTAATCTAAATCAATCCAATAATTCCCATATATGCTCTGACATAAAAAAAAAAGTGCCACACAAGTGAATAGATTTAGTTAGGTATTGAAGGTTTTCCTGTATTTGTTCACTTTAAATTTTAACCTTTTAATGCCATGGCATGTAAAATATGGTTTCAGGGACTTGGATTTCCGGTGATGATCCTTGAGATTTTGGCTAAACATAAAGAATATCACATATGTATTTATGTCAAGCCTTAGAAGTGATGGTCTGTCAGAGCTTAAGAATAAATCATGCTTGTTCCAAAAGCAGCACTGAGACAAGGGACAGGTCTGCAGAATGATGCAATAAAATGTTAACTGCACTTACAGTTTCTCAAAAAAAAAAAGTTTAGACCTCCAAACAGGCTGGGGAAAAAAAGTATATAAATATCAATATGATATATAAATATCATCTCAAACAAACCGGTCTCTCTAAGCTGACAGATGTGATAACACGTCATTAAAAACATCTACAGTCCTTTTAAATGCAATTGGTGGTGATTTGCAGGTTGTTTTTTCTTTTTTTTTTTTCTGCATCACCACAAGCTTTATGTGACAGCAGTGATTCATAGTTATGTTTAATCCTGTAGGATAACATATGCAAATTATGTGACAGAGCCGTAGAGCAGATTATTTAGGAGCAATAAACAAGGCCTTCTCCTAGTTGGACATTTCTCAACAAAAATTCACAAACATTTAAGCATTTGTATAAGCGTCAAGAAAAGTATTGTCTCAGCTGTCACCACTCTCTTGAGAGAGTGACCCTCCCATGAGTTTCATGCATTACTGCGATGCTTCTCTCCAGGGAGAGAAGCATCTTTGTTGTTGCAATATTTGTTATAAAAATAACAAATATGGCAAGCTAAAACCTCATGCAGATGTGACAGTTATTTTTTTCTGCATATACTATTTAAAAGCTCTTCATTGAATTAATTCTTTGTGCAATATTATTGTCAAATTAAATGTTCTAATGCATACGCAACTTGCTGCAGTGTGTGCTTTTGTGATAGTTTGCATGCTAGAGTTTGTAAATGAATTTCGACAACGCTGGCACGATGACGGCAAACAAAAGCCAAATTCAATGCAACGTGGAAAACAGAGTTCTACCCACATCTCTCCTTCGTCTAGTATTTCAGGAGAAAATCCAAATGGTGTATGAGTGTGTATATTTTATTAAATTAAATAATATTAACTTCAACTCTGTGCGCCAATGGTGAAATGAAAGGTTTATTACACCGTATGTTCTGATCCATTTTGTTTGCTGTTGAACGAATCAAGAGACAAGCATTATCTGTTTTTGGGATGTTTCAAAAACAGGTGAGAAACCGTTTCAAAACTTAATGGGATTTATTGGACAAGGTACAACAGAAGATCAGCGTGTAAGTAAAAGCATTGGGAGGGCAGTTTTCAGTTGCAGCAGTGGTCGTAATGCACTGAGGCATGGAGTACTACTGTTTCTCATTAAGCATGCTTCAGCTGGTACGTTCTAACTCTGACCTTATTAAAGAAAGACAAACAACAGTGGCTGATGTAAGTCCCCC